ACTACAGGTCACATGGCGGTAGAGAACTCGACGAAGTATTCAGGATATTTCATAGCCAGTTTAAACCCTGCTGTGCACTATTCCTGTGAATTATGATGCCCAACACACCGGGCAACAAAATTTACCACTTTGTTCGGCTGTTCCAAGTACACTTTTAAGATACAAGGTCCGATTATATCATGTTCTTCGAAGCATCTGCTCAAAACAGTCCAACATAAATGTCGCCACTCATCTTCTTCGCATGAAAATATAAGTTATCCTTTCAATTGCGTTGCCTTAAAAACAGTCATTAGGTTGTTGAAGAGTTAGCCTGCAAGTTCCAACGAAAAAAAACCCTGTATCTTTAATATCGATTCTCTTTTTTATTATATTGATTTTTTTAAATAAATAAAAAAGAAAGCAAAGTTATTTGCATGCTAGAATTTGAAATCATTTTCTTGCAAACTCAAAGTTTATCGATAAAGCCATTTAATTAAAGGCAGTTTAGTTTTATAAAGAACACTTTGCTAGTGCTACAAAATGTTTTTCGAAGCGTTTGTGGTAGAATTTTACCTTAAAGTGAAGCTTATTTTACGTATAATAACATACCTAACATATAAATGTTGGGAAATTGATAATTTTTGTAATTAAAAATGATATTTTTAGGCAATTTTTCATTTGTAAGAATATTCTTAAAAAATATCGTGTTACCATGACAACTACTTTAGATACTTCATGTTCGGAAAATACAATGATTTTGTCAGCAAGGCGAGAGTTTCTGCACGCATGTATTTTCTAGTAGAATGTATTTTAAAATATAATTCTTTAACAACGGTCGTATTCGTTCGAAAGCAGTGTTTTTAAATTTCGCTGGATCTTGTTGGACCTTAATTGACTATCACATATATTAATCTCATACCTAGCGTATTAGCGGCTTTCCTATTGCATGGCTCGAACCCACGTGCTGACGTATGTTTAGGAGGTGGGTTGGAGATCGATGTTTCGGCGGCGGGCATTATGAAGCGATTTGAATAAATTTCAGACGAAGATTTGAATAAAAAAAATTAACTATTTTTAATTGTTTTATAAGGGACTGGTCATAATTTAGCATGAGAGGTGGGGAGGTGGAAACAGTGGGGGGATCACATATTTTTTGGCCAGGAAAAACGGGGTTCATAAAATATTAGACAGTTTATGAAGGCGGGTAGGTGGTCTGCTGTTTCAGTTCAATTAATTGTTTTATACATGCCTTCTCACATTTTGTTTGAGTTGCATTGAAAAAAATTGATTCTTTAAACTTATAATGAAAAGTTTGAAAAAACTAAAGCTTTATATATAACTATGTATTGGTATAATATAAATTTTAGTGTTTGATTTAAAGGGCAACTAGAAAATTACAAAAATTTTAAGTGTAATTAGAAAAAATATTGAATGCAGGGTTTAGTAGTACGGTAGGTACATTTTTACTGACACGAGCAAGAGGGGGGGGGGGGAGCATTATTTTCCCGTTTTATCGCAAAGCAGGGTCACAAAATATCATTCCTTAAGATTTTAAATTACACCTCCCCACCCACCCCCTGATAAATTATGACCAGTCACTAATTATCATATATTTTTGTTTTGTTTGATGAAAATGGAATATTCTGTATTCAAAGTGGAAGAGAACAAAGATGGCCGCCGAAATTTGTTTGGCACGGGCAGGTTTATATAAATCTTGGCATTGTTTTCGCAGAATGTGTTCATTTTCTCTTTTCAAGAATAAGGGAATATTGTAGAGAATTTTTTAGCTTTAATTTAAGCCTAAGTTTGTTTGTTTGCGTACTATGTTGGTGGCTAAATGTTCGTTATCCAAACACGAAATTATATACTAAAAAGTAAAATGCGTATAAAATTCTTCAGTACTCTTTAGTATTTTACCGAAATGGCATGTGATAAAAACCAAACATACTTGCAGGTTCGTTGAGTCCGAGATTGGACGCACCTCGGGTGGCTGGAAGTTTCCCGAACTTCGGGAAACTTCCTACCACCCGAGGTGCGTCCAATCCCGGACTCACCTCCCTGCAAGTATGTTTGTTATAGAACCGCAAGGAATTCAAGCTAATATTGTTAATCGCCAAAAAACTTTGCAAACGCGCATTTAATATCAACGACAAACGTGTAAAAGCTATAGTACTAGGAAATCACTTATTACATGTACTACAAGTATTCGGCACGAACAAACGCTCTACGGAAGCTTTATAAGATTTTTTAATGCTTAAGAAATAGAAAACATTTTCCGTGTTTCTATGGAGTTATAGAAACACGCGTGCTAGTTTGGGAGAACGAGAAATAATCAGTGGGAACACGAGCACGTAGTGCGAGTGTTTTCACGTTATTTAAAGTTCTCCCATGACTAGCACAAGTGTTTCTATAACTCTATAGAAACACAGGGAATTTATTAAATAACCTTGTGATAATAACACAAAAACAATATTTTTAACGCGATTAAAAAGTATATTCTCATTACACAATAACAAGAAAATGTTGCCTAGCAACAATACCGGCATCAATTTTCAGCTTTGTCGACTGCAAAATTATGGATAAAAACACGCGGAAGCAGTTGATTTAAAGAAAATTTAAAGCGTAAAACGTTTGATAAGTGTTTTCCATTGCTTGTTTAATTTAACAAAATTTCAGGTTGACGAAGATTTTTAATCGATATTTCAGGCGAAAACGTTTGTTTTAGTGTGTTGTTTTGAGGTTCGTGGAAAATTCCCGTGGCCGTGTTCTATAGCGTTATAGAAACACGGGATTTTTCGCTTTTCAACCAATCAGCGCAGGCGTTATTAAAAGGTTATTTTATAAAAGACAGTAGAATTCTTTCTCTTTACCAGTAAAGTGCACTACAGCTATGAAATAATGATTTTTTCTGTGTTTATTTTAACTAAACTTATGATTCAACAAAGGATTCACTGATTACTCAATAGCATCTATGAGAAACCTTTTCTGCATCTGTGCTTTACTCCTTGGTATACGGTTAAAGTAAGTCAGACTCTGACAGAAGTAAGAGGTACTTTATAAAAACCAACCATACTTGCAGATTCGGTGAGTCCGGGATTGGACGCACCTCGTCTGCGTGGCTGGCCGGTAAAAAATACTAAAGAATTTACGCATGTTAGTATATAATAATTTCTTGTTTGGACAACGAACATTTTAGCCTCCAACATACTACGCAAACAAGCAAACTTAGGCTTAAATTGAAGCTAAAAAATTCTCTACAATATTCCCTTATTCTTGAAAAGAGAAAATGTATCAGATCTTCGTCTGAAATTTGTTCAAATCGCTTCATAATGGCCGCCGCTGAAAACATCGATCTGGAACCCCCCGATAAACATGCGTCAGCAGGTGTGTTCTATAACAAACGTACTTGCAGGGAGGTGGCGGGAAGCTTCCAGCCACCCTCGGTGCGTCCAATCCCGGCCTCACCGAACGTGCAAGTACGTTTGGTTCTTATCCCATACACCGAGTCATACACACATTTTGTAGCTCTTCGCGATATATTCGTCGATGTTTTGTGAACATTTTCCCGGCCAAAAAAATCACTGGGCAAGAAAATACTTCTTTATCAACGTCTACATTGCCTTTACTGCATTTTTTATTTGGTTTTTCTTCAGTTTCAGTGTGTTAGTCACCGAAAAAATTTCTTTAAAGTTTAGGTTTATCGGCTTAATCTTGTGCGCCATATTTGTTATTGTTTATATTGCAGCTTAAGCAGTTTAGCGGCTGAGTTCGGGCGAAAAGCAGGTGAGCTCGACAACAAGCTCACCTGCTCTAAACCAATCAGAAAGCCGCTTTTAACACAGGTATGGGATAAGAGATTGAACGCACTTCCTCGTAGCCACAGCCGCTAAAGGTTCGGTCACACGGAGCGACAAGTCGCAGGGGCATGTTGCAGGGACATGTCGCCCGAAACGAGTCACACAAAGCGACAATGCTAGGCGAAAACAAGTCGCATAAGCGCTTATAGGCGCGTGGTCAGACGAGGCGACAATTCACACGACAAGTCGCAGTTTGCCGAAACCTGGGTACGAAGTGTTCATGTAAACAAATATGGCGTCTCAATTGACTCGACACCGTAAGAAAACAATTTTATTTATACTAATGATGATAATTGATGATCATCCTTCGGTTACAGTTGAAAGGAAAACTTGGGCTCGAAACTGGCATTGAAGACGGACTGAACGAGGTGCATATCATAAAATTTTTCGTGAATTATCTGTAGAAGATAGAGCAGGGTTCAGCGAATTTATGACGATGCCGTTATGATGTGGTATCCGCCATATTGAAATTGAGCGTGCAAGTAGCAATGGGAATGATATTTTGAGGTTGGTCAGACTAATTATTTCCCCGCGACTTTTGAACAGACTAGCTCACACGATGCAACAAGTCGCGGCAACGGTTTTTCCCCGCCACACGTCGCATTAAATGAAATCAATTTGATTTCATGCGACATGTCGGGCGCACAATTATTTGTCCCCTGACAACGCTTACATGCACATGTGACACACGATGAAATTCGACCCCGCGACACGTCCCTGCAACATGCCCCTGCGACTTATCGCTCCGTGTGACCGAACCTTAATACGCTCACTTAATAGGCAACTTAAGGTGGCTCCCTATAGTTTCTTGAAATCAGGAAATTTAATTGTTCTTCTAAAACTTTCACCTTCGTTCATTATAAACATTTATTTTGTAAACTAAATTCAGGAATTCTGATCCTGAAGGTTAATATTTTATTTAATTTGCTACGTTTCGAGCAGATTGACTGCTCGTCGTCGGGCCAACTACAACTTTTAATTTTAAACAATGACGTGCACAAACTGTCTCTTTAACCTACGTGATCTTTGCGCGTGCGTGATGTCGTGCGCAACTTAGTCATTTCCTGTTTGAAATAACTGTTTAAAACAGTTCGCCACTCTGCTAATTGTACAAAATTGTTCAACATCTCTCTGCCACTTTGTTGTTCTCTCAATGACTCAATTCCTTCCCTTGCTTTTCTTTGCCTCAATCCCTTCTCCATCGCAATCATTCCAGCTTTTTCCCACTCAATCTCTCCTGTACACTTAACACTGTGTCTTGCCAAGCCACCGTCTTCCTTCCCCATCCTTTGTTCTGCTGATTCTAACTTCCCATTCTTTATGTCCTGTTTTATTAATCGTACTTTGCTCTCATGTTCTTTCTTCCTTGTTTCAAATTGTCGATATGTCTCTCCTATGTACACTGCTCTTTCACAACCGCATGGTATCTTATAGACAACCGCCTTTCGTTTGTTTCCTAACGGATGTTGAACTCGTACTTTCAACTCTTTTAACTTTCTTCCTGGTCTAAATGTTGTTCGAATTACATGCTTCTCTGTTATTCTCTTAAACTTTTCTGACAACCCTTTCAGATGTGGAATGCTGACTACTCCTTTATATTCTTTCGTTTCCTCCTTTTCACTCTTTTTCTTTTCGTGCATGTACCTTCTCACCTTGGTTCTATCATATCCATTCGCTACAAACACATCCTCTATATTTTGAAGTTCATCATCCGAATGTTTTTCATCACATAATGCTCGAGCTCTTTCAGTAAAGCCTCTGATGATGCCTTTCTTTATGTAGTGTGGATGGTTCGATTTCTCTTTCACGTTTATATATGTTGGTGTGCGTTTTCTTGTAGTGTAATGTACACTCAATCTCTGCCGTTTCTCTGTTTACATTCTGTTTCAAATCCAGCACTGATAAGCTTTCTTCCTTTTGTTCTTCCTTTGTAAATACAATTATATTCTCTTCCATAGCATTCAAATGTTGCAGAATCTTTTCCGAGTCATCACTGCGGCATTTTATTTCACTTTCATCTACATACCAGTACCATTGGTCCAAAGGATATGGTGAAGATTTTATTGCCTGGATTTGAAATTCCTCCATGTAGATGATCGCTAATTCGCCTGTAGCTCCAAGTCCAATCGGGCACTTCCCAAAACAAAATGTTGTCCACTATATTCACAATAAGTGACGTTGAACATCCATTTTAATAAATCCATGATCGAATCAACACTTAAGTTGGTTACATCTTTCAGTGTTGTGCTTTCTTTCAACAATTTCTCGACTAACTCCAGCGCTTTTTTAATTGGTATAGATGGATAAAGATTTTTCACGTCATAACTCACTAGAATCTCGTCTCCTTCAACCCTCCATTCCTTGACTCTTTCTTTAAGCTCCATCGAATTCTTAACAAACAGTCCACTTCGTCCTTGAATTATACGTAAAATAGGTATTAGATACCTGGAAATTCTTTCAAACGGGGATCCTACCATTGACACAATACCTCTCAATGGAACTCCTTCTTTGTGTATTTTTGGTAAACCTGACAATCTTGGAGCATGACAATCTTTCGGTTTTAGATAACTAAGAGCTTCTTCCGATAATTCATTTCTTTAGACAACATTTTCAATAATCTTAGCTCTGTCGCTGCATACCTTTCCCGTTAAATCCCAATCTTTTCCAGCTGTAATTGATGGTTTCGCTTTCAAATCAACAAGTACTTGTTTCATCTTGAATTCGTACGAATTTTCTCCTTGACTTTCCCATCTATCCATTGCGACCATTATCCTTCCTTTGTCTGCCGGTAAGTAGAAAGAACTGGTAATACAAAGGCAATGAAGGACCAGAATAAAGTATACTTACTGGCAGACAAAGGAAGGATAATGGTCGCAATGGATAGATGGGATCGGAAAGTCAAGGAGGAGAAAATTCGTACGAATTCAAGATGAAACAAGTACTTGTTGATTTGAAAGCGAAACCATCTATTACAGCGGGAAAAGAATGGGATTTAACGGGAAAGGTATGCAGGGACGGAGCTAAGATTATTGAAAATATTGTTCAAAGAAATGAATTATCGGAAGAAGCTGGTAGTTATCTAAAACCGAATGATTGTTATGCTCCAGATTGTCAGGTTTACCAAAAATACACAAAGAAGAAGTTCCATTGAGAGGTATTGTGTCAACGGTAGGATCCCCGTTTGAAAGAATTTCCAGGTACCTAATACCTATTTTACGTACAATACAAGGACGAAGTGGACTGTTTGTTATGAATTCGAGGGAGCTTAAAGAGAGAGTCAAGGAATGGAGGGTTGAAGGAGAGGAGATTCTAGTGAGTTATGACGTGAAAATCTTTATCCATCTATACCAATTAAAAAAGCGCTGGAATTAGTCGAGAAATTGTTGAAAGAAAGCACAACACTGAAAGATGTAACCAACTTAAGTGTTGATTCGATCATGGATTTATTAAAATGGATGTTCAACGTCACTTATTGTGAATATAGTGGACAACATTTTGTTTTGGGAAGTGCCCGATTGGACTTGGAGCTACAGGCAAATTAGCGATCATCTACATCGAGGAATTTCAAATCCAGGCAATAAAATCTTCACCATATCCTTTGGACCAATGATACTGGTATGTAGATGACAGTAAAATAAAATGCCGCAGTGATGACTCGGAAAAGATTCTGCAACATTTGAATGCTATGGAAGAGAATATACTTGTATTTACAAAGGAAGAACAAAAGGAAGAAAGCTTTCCGGTGCTGGATTTGAAACAGAATGTAAACAGAGAAACGGGAGAGATTGAGTGCACATTACACTACAAGAAAACGCACACCAACATAAACGTGAAAGAGAAATCGAACCATCCACACTACATGAAGAAAGGCATCATCAGAGGCTTTACTGAAAGCATAATGTGATGAAAAACATTTGGATGATGAACTTCAAAAATCGAGGATGTGTTTGTAGCGAATGGATATGATAGAACCAAGGTGAGACGGTACATGCACGAAAAGGAAAAGAGTGAAACGGAAGAAACGAAAGAATATAGAGGAGTAGTCAGCATTTCATATCTGAAAGGGTTGTCAGAAAAGTTTAAGAGAATAACAAAGAAGCATGAAATTCGAACAACATTTAGACCAGGAAGAAAGTTAAAAGAGTTGAAAGTACGAGTTCAATTAACATCCGTTAGGAAGCAAACGAAAGGCGGTTGTCTATAAGATACCATGCGGTTGTGAAAGAGCAGTGTACATAGGAAAGACATGTCGACAATTTGAAACAAGGAAGAAAGAACATGAGAGCACAGTACGATTAACAAAACAGGACATAAAGAATGGGAAGTTAGAATCAGCAGAACAAAGGATGGGGAAGGAAGACAGTGGCTTGGCAAGACACAGTTTTAAGTGTACAGGAGAGATTGAGTGGGAAAAAGCTGGATTTATTGCAATGGAGAAGGGATTGAGGCAAAGAAAAGCAAGGGAAGGAATTGAGTCATTGAGAGAACAACAAAGTGGCAGAGAGATGTTGAACAATTTTGAACAATTAGCAGAGTGGCGAACTGTTTTAAACAGTTATTTCAAACAGGAAATGATTAAGATGAGCACGACTTCACCCGCCCGCTAAGATCACGTAGGTTAAAGAGACAGTTTGCGCACGTCATTGTTTAAAATTAAAAGTTGTAGTTGGCCTGACGACGAGCAGTCAAACTGCTCGAAACGTAGCAAATTAAATAAAATATTAACCTTCAGAATCGGAATTCCTGAATTTAGTTTACAAAATAAATGGAAAATTTATGATTTGGATCAAAATGTGTTCGGGATTGTTGCTTGTTAGGAAACAGGAATTGTGTGACTAATATAAAACAATATTTTTAGAGTTGGAAATGATTAATAAAAATGACGACATTGTTGTTGCTATGGCAACAATGAGGTTTTAATATGGCCGACATTTTGGCATTGAACTTATTTTACTCGAAAAAACGTCCGGTTACCTCCCATTTTTTATTTCATCAAACGTTTTCTACAAATATAATGGAATATTTATACGAGTTTAAATTAAGAAAATTCTGTAGAGCCATTTTCTTGGTATTATGAATTATCATGTTGATTAAATTTTTTAAAAAATGGTTCTACAGAATTTTTTTAAACTCGTTTAAATATGAAAACAAAATGTCGACTCCCCCCCCCCCCCGTCGCCAAGGGGTCCCCGAAATGGGAGAGGGCCCAAATTTTTGAATTCCCTCTTCCGCCAACCAGATATCGCTTGGCGCGACCCTGAATTTGCTACAAGCTGCAGGAAATTTGTTTCATCGTATATGCTTCCAAATAAAACTATAAATCGCTGGTTGAAAATACGTGAACGTCATTGGAACGATCAAGTAACTTGATCAGAAGTAGCCTCTGTTTTGGATCTTATTTTGTGCATCGTTTTTATCTATAAAGTTAAACTTCGAATTTATACAAGAATAATAATTACGAAGTTCCATGCGTTAATAGTTCCAATTACGAAGTTCCATGCGATAATAATTACGAAGTTCCATCCATGTTCTTTTTTCTCAATTATGTAAACAGTCACAAAACAACAACTTTGTAAACGGTGGCCAACTCGAAAGCTTCTCAGCTACTTTGGCCACTGTACACGATATAATACCATAATTAACTCCCTTTTTTCCCTTTCATTATGATTTTTTTTTTGTGATGTAATTAATGTCTAACTATATCTTTTTGTAAACGTGTGAATTAAAATTGAATTGAATTGAGAGAACGTTGTCGTTACATAGCTAAATATGTTAGATTCAACAAACTTCCGTATAGACACGGGGGAGGGGGCAAGAATTTGTAAACTAGCGATAATCTGTAACATTTGAGAGGGAAATAATGATCTAATAATCGCCCCTGACTAATCAACTCCCATTACAAAATTGCTTCCCACGGCAGTGAACTTAAAGGGATTTCGAAAATGCAAACATAGCGAATTAATCCCACGCATACACTTGTTTAGTTTTTGTGGAGTGAAACTTAGTAAAATAGATATAGACTATTGAGACTGAAAAATTCGTTCTAATATTTCTGTATTTACTTCAATTCACAAATATACCAAACCGCACTTCAATTATTGATATATATAGATTATGAGGAAAAATTTACTTCAGCTTTAAGGCGGTTCTCCACTAGGCGAAATTTTTCGACCGAATCGAAATTTCTCTTTGTTTCATGAGCTCTCGAGCAGAACTAATTGTAAAAAGATAAAGAGAAATTTCGTTTCGGTCGAAAAATTCCGCCTCGTGGGATCAGACCTTAAGGCTGAAAGATACTAATTGTTAGATTTATCAAGTTAGATCCTTTGAATTTAAAATAACCAAAGTAATTGCACATATCCAAATTATGAGGAAGAGTTCTTCGGAGGACTTATTGCAGCCCTATATATAGTGCATGCACGGCCGCGACGTTTTTGGTATCTAAGTCTGAACAAAATGGTTGTTTTTATTCATGTTTAAACGACAATATCTGGAGGGAAAGATCAAGATAAACCCATAATACGTTTCAGGAAATGAACATGTGCATGCACGTCACATGCAACATCAATCGTATGCATGTGAAGGATCCAGACTTTTGTTTTTGCTCTGTATAATGCTAGACTATGTTATTCAATTGACCTAATCATAATGGATGGCTCAATCAGTTCTAGCTATTAAAGCCCCGTTTACACTACGCTACTAGCTATGCTGAGGTAAAATGATGCTCAGTGCAGGAATCTGCTCATTTCTCAGTGCAGGAATCGAACCCGTTTCGCGGAGGCGAAAGGCACCATGCACGAATCTCTGTATCACTAACACGCCAGGCCCCTAACATGTTGTCATCGATCCCCAAACATTGTCGCTAAACTGTTGGCGGAGGCTGGCGAACATTACCAAAATGATGCTGACTCGGTGATCAAGAATCGCGTTGTTATAGGTTTAAACAAGACTTATATAAATCAGGCGAGTGTATACATGCTACGTATAAAAAGTACAATAAAAATAATATAAACGCGCGTCCCATATGAGTAGAATTATCTCTTATATATACGTTGTGAAGTTATCAGTTACGCGAGATGAGAAGCATTATGTAATGAAAAGAAATACAACTTACTATAAACAACAGTTTCTTACTCTTGTTCTTACTCTGGAGCCAGCTTGTATCCAACTGCGTGCAGTGCAGTTCTATCACCGTCTCATTTTATGAGCTCATCTGTGGCCTCGAACGAAACTTTCATTGCGTAGTCAAAGTAACGTCAGTAAACATGGAGTACCGGACATGAAACTGCTATTCAGGTAACGACGCGAGATGTTGCAGACCATAAACACACTGGATTAATCCCACACATGATGGGTAATGAACACTATAAATTGTTGCCCTTAATGTGTTTTCGTAGACAACTGTCCAAATTAACGAAACTTCATGAAGAGCACTTGACTTTTGAGACTTTTAAAATTAATCAATGACAATTTTTTCCTTTGGTGATTATTGGATCTTTTGTTGGAAGGTCACTTGGGGGCTGTTTTTACCCGGCTAACCGCTGACTGATTTGTGTCACAAAAATCTTTCCTTTTCCAAAAACAAATCAATTGTGTGTTATTATAGTTAGCAGAGTTGAAGGTTTGCATTAAATCAGGTCACACCTCTATTTAATGCAAGTATAGTTCAATGTCAGAAGCAGCCGACAACTGAGTACCTAGCACATGTATGCTTAACAAAACACACCCTATAATCCTATATAAAATTGAGATCCTGAGTTATTAGGGTATAAATTAAAATAAACACAGGTTGCTACTGAATTGTCATGTTTCAAGAGTATGACATGTACAACGACGAAGATTTTGCAATACTGTCAACATCACGTTTTGCATGCCATATTTTGCATGTCAGTATTTACCATTTGAATTGATTAAATGTGCTGCAAAATTATTTCTAAAGGCCCTGTCACACTATTGCGTATCGTACTAACGTATGCCAGCGTATGAAAAATATCACTCATACGCCGGTATACGCTGACATACGCTAGCTAGGGGTACGTTAGGCATAGGTTGTATACGTTTCAAGCACGGTCGCGTACGGTGGCATACGCTGGCATACGGCGAGGCAGAACTTTTTGTTTTAAGCATGCTCAAAAATTTTGTGCGTATCGGACGTATGCTTTATACGATAAGCATACTCTAGGCACACGCTGAATACGCTAGAGGTACGCCAGATGTACGGTACTCATACGCTGGCATTTCAAAGGATTTTTGTGCGTGTGAAAATTATTTCATTAATTTTCATACGCTTCTCATACGTTTCTCTCATACGCAATAGTGTGACAGGGCCTTAACAAAGCATATAGGTTTCGGAACACGTCGGGGAAAATTTTTACATTCACATCCCGCCCCCTCTCCTCGTTGCCAACATTTCCG